TATTAGGCTGTCCATCTTTCTAAAGAGTCACTAGTTATAGAGAGAATATTAGACTGGAAAGGAAACTGGGTTCCACTATCCAAGTGATTTGATCACTTCCCCTCTCTGGACACAAATTTCCTCAACTTGAAATCAACAAGGCTGAACTACAAGATCTCTCAGACTTCTTGCAACTCTGTTATCAGGTAACTGTTATCATTGAAACCTGATAGTTATCTAGTTAGATAAAAAGTGCTAACTGAGACATTTTCAACAACAAAAAAAGCGCATAAGTACGTTTATCTTTGTTGCTTCATTTGCCAATAATTATCTATATGGTAATTATTACTGAGAAGATAGTGCTGGACTTTTAGGTTATGTAAGCACCATTTTTTCATCAAAAACTTTCTGCACTAGTTTTCTTTGGGATTCCCTGGATATATGTGCTGAGAGCTGATTGATAACTTTTCATCTGAGATAAAAAGTCATTTCTTAAATTTTGCCAATTGTCTTTTAGATTGTGCTAAGGCTATTTCTAAAAAAAAAAAAAAAAAAAAAAAAGCCATTTGCTTTTGAGTAAAATTCACAGAACTTCATCTACCCACGTGTTCTGTTACTAAATTGTAAGCAGTATTCTGGGGAACCATGCCAAATAGATCCCCCGAGAAGAGAACAGAAATGGACCCCAGTGAATGCATTCACAGAGATTTGTCCATCAGAGTAACTATCTGTATTTTGGGGCTTGAGGAAGTATAAGCCAGGTAATTTTTTTTTTTCCAAGAGAGAGAGAGAGAGAGAGAGAGAGAGAGAGAGAGAGAGAGAGAGAGAGAGAGAGAGAGAGAGAGAGAGAGAGAGAGAGAGAGAGAGAGAGAGAGAGAGAGAGAGAGAGAGAGAGAGAGAGAGAGAGAGAGAATAGATTGAACAAGTTCTAGAGCTGGGGAGGAACCCTAGAAGTCACGACTGAATGACCGAATGAATCATGAGTGTCTAAAAGGCACTGCCAATAAGCGGGGAAATATGTTCATGTTCGGTTAGTAAAGAAGCAACAGCAACATTCACTTATTTCAGAATTCTGTCTCGAGCGATTGCTAGAGTTGGAAGGAAGGGTTCTGTGAGATGATGATAGGAAGGAGAGGGAAGAGTTGGATGCCTGCAGTTTCTCCCCTAGGCAGGCTGCCTAGTGGAGTAGTCCTTCGAGTGTATTCACAGAGGTGGGATTGATTTGCTTGTTTTCTTATGTAACTGCTTTACACCCCACTTCTTCCTTAAGGTGGATCCCATATAAAGAATAATTATTTATTATTTCGTCTAATCCACACACTGATGCCTCATAGTAGATTTAATATTAATCAACACAATTATTTCTCAAGGTTTCAGCTATAAAGGGCGATGAATAGGCTGAAAAATGTTTCTGGAGTTGAGTTTGTGATATCGGCCGCGGAAAAATGGACAGAAAACGTGGGAAATACATAGTGAATATTGAACCCTCTGGAAAACAGCTGGAGAGTATTGGTGGCACCACTCAGGTATGTTTTGATAGCTCAGAGTTTTGTGTTCAATGTTTATAGGACTTTAATATATATAGTTTTTGTTATGACATGGTTCTTCCCCAAAAGGAATTCTTAATAAAGGTTTTATATAGAAGCCAATTTTTAGCTAATACTTACTACTTATTAGTTAGAAGTTTTTAATTCCTGCATAGCAATGTATGCATAATTAAAGCATTTATTTTAACACTCACTAATATAAGATATAAGCAATCTTGGGTAACAATTTCATAATTTTTTCAAATAATTCTCTGCAGCTATCATAATTCAAACATAAGCCAACACTCTATATTTGATTGCATTAACAAGTTATGTTTTTAAAATGTGATATATAGATTTTTATGTTAATCACTTCGATTTTTAGTGTAATGTGTAGATTTGATAGAATGCAAAGATTTCTATATATCTTTAAAAGTCATAAGATAATTGTATAAGTGAAAGTTAGATCTAGGAATCAAATTTATTTAGAAATCCTTTAGATAGGTCTCTACTTTACTGGTTATGAATTTCTTCTCTTGGTAAAACATTGTATTAAGGTGAATCTTTAGAGTTCAGTTATTTACAATATTATTTGACTATTGCTTATGTTTTTAAAAGAAAAAAATTTGGCCGGGACCGGTTTAGCTCAATGGATAGAGCGTCGGCTTGGGGACTGAAGGGACCCGGGTTCGATTCCGGTCAAGGGCGTGTGCCTTGGTTGCGGGCATATCCCCAGTAGGGGGTGTGCAAGAGGCAACTGATCGATGACTCTCTCTCATCGATGTTTCTGGCTCTCTGTCTCTCTCCCTTCCTCTCTGTACAAAATCAATAAAATATATTTAAAAAAAAAATTTGTACTGTGTATGTTGGGATTGCCTTTTAGATATATAAATAAATAAATAAGTAAATAAATAAATAAATATTTATTTATTTATTTATTTATTTATTTATTTGAGGCCCAGTGCATGAATTTGTGCATGGGTGGGGTCTGGCCAGCCTGGCCAGGAGGAGTGGACATGGGTGGTTGGCTGGCCTGCCTGCTGGTCAAACTCCTGGTCGAGAGGACAATTTGCATATTAGACTTTTATTATATAGGCTATACACTGAGTAACACTGAGTAATGCATAGATTATTATGCATTCAGAGATCATAGTATTCTGGCCACTCAGTGTATATTTTGTGTGTGTGGGGGTTAATTTGCTATTCTTTTACTTATAATGTTTGCACCAGTATTCTTGAGATTGACCTTTGAAGGTTTCAAAATAAATTCTTTAGCTTCCTATACCAGGCAGTTTTAAAATCTGACAAATGTCCTTAATGCAGAACCACTAACAGTGTAAATTCTTAAAACATTCTAAACTTCTCAGACCAACCTTGTTCTAGCACTGTTTTATATCCTAACTACTAGGATACTGCTTGGAGACCACTCGGACTTTCTACTCCAGACCCCCAGCCTCCTGGGCTAGTCCAGAACAAAACTAAGGCCTTGGAGTCAGGGCTCCTGTTTTCCAATCTGTCATGCCAGCCACACATGAATGCCAAAAGTTTTGCTCACTTCTTTTGGTAGTCAGAACCTCAGCTCATAGTCAGAATCAACTGGCATACCCAGAAGAGAAAATGGCATATGATTGGTAGGTCACTTCTGTGAAGCTCTTTCAAACTCTGTTAAATTTTACATAATCTAATTTTAATTTTTTTCAAGTTCTTCAGTTGTTATTATTGACTGATCGATTGCAGTGGGCCTATTGCAAGTTACTCTATCCAGAATCTCACTTCAATTCTTTACATCTTGGTTTTCTAATTTTCAATATGACCCAAAAACATTCTTTTTTTTTTTTTTTAATGTTTATTGATTTGAGAGAAAGAGAGGAAGGGAAAGGGGGAGAGAGAAAGGGAAAGAGAGAGAGAGAGAGAGAGAGAGAGAGAGAGAGAGAGAGAGAGAGAGAGAGAGAGAGAGAGAGAGAGAGAGAGAGAGAGAGAGAGAGATCGGCTTTGTTGTTTCACTTATCCATGCATTCATTGGTTGATTCTCATATGTGCCCTGACTCAGGATCAAACCCACAATCTTTTGGTATTGGGATAATGGTCTAACCAACTTAGCTACTTGCCCAGGGCCAAAACAGTTTTTTAAAAAAATATTTATTTATTTATTTATTTAATATTTACTTGAGGATAATGTTTATTAATTTTAGAGAGAGGAAGGAAAAGAGAAAGAGAAACCTTGATCGGTTGCCCTGCCATATGCTCCCTGACTGGGGATTGAGCCCACAACCAAGGTATGTGCCCTGACCAGGAATTGAACCCGCAACCTTTTGGTGTAATGGTTAATGCTCCAACCAGCCTAGTCACCTGGCCAGGGCCTAAAAATTGTTCTTGATAACCTTTAAGGTCTTAGAATTTTCAATGTGAGACTTTTTTTTCTTATATAATTTCTTTATACCTGCTTGCCACATAATGATAGTGAACAAATGCATTAAAAATGATGAAGATAAAAAAATAAGGCTTATTCCTGGATTTTAATATCAATAATTTTATAAAATTAGAGGCCTGATGCATGAATTTGTGCACAGGTGTGTTCCCTCAGCCTGGCTGGAGATCAGGGCCGATCGGCACTGTCTCACCCAATCCCGATTGGGGTCGATAGGGGCCAGCTGGCCAGCTGGGGAGGGACCTGGAGAAGGCTCCAGGGATGTCTGGCCCATCCTACCCAGTCCAGCAGCAAGCTAACTTACCAGCCAGAGCGTGTGCCCCCTGGTGGTCAGTGCATGTCATAGTGACTTGTTGAGCAGTTGACAGATTGGTCAGACACTCAGCATATTAGGCTTTTATATATGTAGACACTATATACATTAGGGGGGGGTCCCTTCAACCCTCTCCAATCTGGGACCCCTGGGGGGATGTCCAATTGCCAGTTAAACCATTAGTCCAGACATCCCTCTCACAATCTGGGACCACTGGCTCCTAACTACTCACCTGCCTGCTTGCCTGGTTGCCCCTAACTGCCTCCCCCCACCTCTGGACTGGTCACCCACATCTGTCCTGCTGTCAGCCTAGTTAGCCACAACTGCCTGCCCTCCCCTCACTCCCCACCCCAGGCCTGGTCACCACTAACTTTCCCCCCTTCCAGCCAGCCTAGTCACCCCTTACTGTCCCCCTGCTGACCTGATCGCCTCCAACTGCTCCCTCCCTGCCAGACTGATCGACCCCAACTGCTCCCCCTGTGGGCCTGGTTGCCCCACACAGACTGCTGCTCAGTCATTTGGTTGCCCCTCATTAACTCCCCTGCCAGCCTGGTTGCCCCATGCAGCCTGTTTGGTGGTTCGTTCGGTTGTGATGATCGCTTAGATTTTTATTATTATAGATAATTAACTGTAACTTCTGACAATTATCTAGCTTTCCTTGTTTTGAGAAGAAATATATTGAAAGTGTTCATTTGTGTTTTTTTTCAAGCAGGTTTCAAGTGGATTTATTTGATTAAATATATGATAATATTATATGCCAGAATCTGATTTATATTTGTCAGCATTATATTACTTTAGCCATCAAATATAATAATTCCTATCTCCCCCATTCTTTTCTATACACAGTCATTTCTGAGCACAAAAACCCACGAAGCTCACAGTTCAGCATGTCTGTTTCCAGCATCAACTGATGTAGCTTGTGATACTGGTATCAATTTAACTAATGTCTGCACCAATACAAGGACCCTTGGAGACCCGGAATTTCCAAACAGAGAATTACATCATTGTCAGGTAATGTTTGGGACAACACTCTTTCTCTGGGTATGACATAACTCTCATGGAAATATTATTGATCTAATATTTTGGAGGAAAATAATTTACTCAATTAACGATAACAATTGAAAATCTACAGCATCCTTTAAACATGTCACTGAGAGGGAATGCAAGAGACAAATTTATGGGTCTCTTCATTTAAGGTAGTTAATGATCACGAAAGAAAGACAAAAACATACACAATTTGGAGAAAATAAGGGTCAAACAAAGTTTTGGGGTCTCTTTTATTTTGAGGACTGAGTAGGCGATGACAGCAAATGCATTGGGCGTAAATGACATTGTACCCCTTGCTCAGGTGGAGATGAAGTCATGTGTTAAGGCTCTGGGGTTCTAGTCTGTGGGTGATCTGTCTCACTCTCTCTTCCTGCCTCTGAGCCAACTGTAGGCTTTCTGTTAGCCTCCTGGTTCTGACCTCATGTGTTTTCAACCTTGACTTAGAACTATTTAGCTCTATTGGTTTGGTACCCTGAAGCAGATTTCCCGTATTCATTGACCCTTTTTCTTATTATTCTATTTTCTTCACCTTAAGGTCTGATCTCTGAGTCCCTTCCGCTTCCACACCAAGATGAAAACTTGACTCTGATTGATGATGATGCTTGCCAGTTTGGTTCAGTGCTTCAAGCTCTGGACTACACCCCTCCTCCAGTTAATCTTACTAGAGAGACAGGTTGGAGAGACTCTGACAAAATAAAAGAGGATACACTCTCTGTCAGGAGACATTGTGGAAGAATGCTTTTGATAGATAACAGTTATTTAGAGAACACGTCTCTGATAACCTCAAACAAACCAGACCAATCAGAGAGCTGAGAGTTATTTTAGATGCATTTAAGTGACAGGTGGAAAAAAATGTGGTCTGGAAGTGTAGAATGTTTTAAGAATTCACACAGCTAGTTAGCAGCTGTAATAGCATGGACACACATGTCTCAGGTCAGTTTAATGTAAGTTTCTATTAATCTTGCCCTTCTTTTTAAAGATTCAAATAAAAAATGAGGGTAATTATCTCCCTTACATGAGATGTGACTTTGGCCCTTCCTCTCCTACCCCTCTGACTTCCTTCCTAAGACCTGGATGCCCTGGGGCCATTTGTCTTTGGGCTTTCTCAGTTGGTGCCCTAAATCCTTGGCCTTATTGGACTGCTTCTAGTCTCCTAGGGGGACCTCCTTTCAGCACCCACACTGAGGATTACTATCTGAGACCGTTTCTCGTATTTTGTGATTTTTAAGAGCTATTCTATATGCTCCAAAGACATCTGCTTTGTTTTTGTTTCCTTTAGTGATCTGCTCTCAGTTATAGGGAAAGGGATAATAATGAAGTAATTAGTGAATGCAACTGTTTTTTTTGTTTGTTTGTTTTGTTTTTAATACTTAGCAAGTGCAGGGAAATATTACCCATATTGTTTTCTTGTTTACTCTTAACAGAAATCCTGTGCAATAAGTGATAGGACCCACGTGAGGGAATTGCGGCTTTGAAATATAATCCAAATTTCCAAATAGCATTGTGACAGAATTTACCAGGTGACGGAAAAATACATAGGAGTACCGGAGAAACAGGAGAAACCCATTTATTTTCACATGTTTCGCATGAACTAGTAGTGGCTTCAGGGGAGACTTCCTCTCAAATCCTGAACAAACCAATATGGAGGAAGCTCTCCCTTTACACCCTTTGGTTTCTTTGTCCCCTACATATGGAAGGGACTCGTGGACCTTTCGCAGGCTTTGCAAAAAGCCCTGTGTATTGGGATGGGAGCCATAAAACCACACTTAAAGGCATGGCCTGGTGCCAACGCTGATAACCCCATCTGGGGGTTGTGGTTTATGGCCTCTGTAAAATGGGAGTAGTTAGGTAAACCTGTCTTGTAAGACCAGATTGTGGAGAAAGGGGCAGGGACTTAATTGTAGGCTATCAATAAACATTAGGTTACTGGTACAGATTCAGATTGCTAGCAACCCCTCCCCCCCAAATGTCTTATTTTCCCCATCAGCATCATCCATGTAGTGAATGGTGGAATTTAAATTTAAACCTAAATCTGTTAGACTTCATGCTTGTGCTCCTAATTTCTACATGAACTGTCTTCTGCAAGAATAAAAGGAGGATATTTTTTATTTTAATTTTCTCAGCAACACTTTGAGGTAGATATAATTATCCCCACTTTTGATATAAGGCAAATTGAGAATTAGACAAGTTAATAAACTTGCTTAGAATATTAATGGTATGGGACTAAATTCAAGACTTCTGATCTGAAGACTTACATGTTCTACACTATGCAGTGTTTCCTGTATAATAACAAATTATATATATATGTAAGTCTATATATTATATATATTAAATTACATATATATTTATATATACAGTCAAACCTTGGTTCTCAAATGTCTCCCATCTCAAACAATTTGGTTCTCCAAGTTGTTCACCAAACAAATATCTTGGTCTTTGGACAAAACTTGCATGCTAGTACTTTAGCATGACAAAAAGTGCCTCATTGCCACAAACAAAAGAGAGAATTCTGGTCTGTTTACCTAGAAACTTAGGGTTTGTGAACATCTCAGGAAATCATGCTGTGGATATTTTTGTGGGTTTTCTTTTCTCTTGTTGCTGACAAATGGGTGATTAGCCCAACTTTACTACCGTGTTTCCCCGAAAATAAGACATCCTCCGAAAATTAGACCTAGTGCATGGAAAGATAAGACATCCCCTGAAAATAAGACCTAGTGCAATTTTGGGAGCAAAAATTAATATAAGACACTGTCTTATTTTCGGGGAATCAGGGTAGTAAACACTAAAGAGGCCATCAACAGTGCTTATGTTGCTGTGGGATGTGAAAAGAAACAATGATCACAGAGGCAGAAAAACTGCTATTGATTTGGATAAAGGAAAAAGCAGTTAGCCCGTGACAGTGTCAGCATTTTGGAGGCAGTGATATGTGAAAAAACAAAATGCCCCAAGCTGACTTCCTAAAATACACCCCTGGAAGGAGTGCTGAAAGAGATTCCTTTAAGGCTAGTAATGGGATTTGATAAATTTAAGAAAAGAAGTGTTTGCTTATAGATTACATTAGACTTGTACTGTATATAAGAAAGGTTAAAACAGGTAATCCTTTTGGGGGGTTTGGAACTAATTAATGCAATTCACATGATGTCTTATGCAAAAAAAAAAGTTTGGTTTTCGAAGAAATCGCTTCTCGAACAGCTTACTGGAATGAATGAAGTTCAAGAACCGAGGTTCCACTGTAATTTGTTATATATAAGTAGTATTTTAAAATTTATAAAGTAATTTTATGGACATTAATTCTTATTCTAATTTTATCACATCCATTTTTATGGATGAAAGGATTCCATCAAAGGGATAAGTATCTTACCCAATGGAAATAACTGGTGGCAACAGATGTGGGATTTCAACAAATGTTTCAGATTTTAAATTTCATCCTGCCAAATGCTAATTTGTATGAAAAATTAGCTAGGAAATTTGACAAGCCATTAATCAATGCACCTAAAATCAAAGACTTCAAAGTAGCTAAATTTCTGATAGATGACAAGCCAGAAGGGGAGAAGATTTAATCAGGTGATCTTTTGGGGCCCTCAAATCACTGTGAACAGGCATGTATAGAAACTTTTGATAGTGGCAGGAATATAAAGTTTCCAAGAAGACATTAATAACCTTTAAAAAAAAAGTTTGATATACAGATATATGAAAAAAAATCATGAGAAATTGGGAGAAGTTTATTTGTTCTTATGAGTCATTCTTTATTATTAGAAGCTATTAATAGTGTTTTATGTATATATCATCTTTCAGTAAGGTAATATATAAAAAAGGATTTTCAATGGTATTAATTTTTTGGATCATTCGATTTGATCTTCATTAATTTTGTATGCATCTTTTCCAGGTGACACGAAATTTCTTTAGGGATTGGTCTCTGTGGAAAATCTTCCTGGTTTGTCTCTTAGCCTGTGCGATAACAACAGCAATTGGAGTACTCATAATGTCTTTGGTGTATAATGGGAAAAAGAATAATGCCTCCATTGTTATCCACTTTCCTTCAAACCATGAGACAACTTCATCTGCAACTGAAACTAGTTCTGAGCCTATAATTCCCACTACCGTAATAGATTCTACCACACCATCCACTTCAACTACCATCACTAGAACCACTGGTCGTTCTTCAACAGAATCTACTAGTACAGCAACCATTGCTCAAACAGAAACAACAACAGAAGGCAACACTTTATCTGAAACCACTACAACAATGACTTCAGGCACTGCAACTGAGGCTACAACCATAAAAATCACTACTGCTTCTATAGAATCTAGAACTACCACAACAGCAGACACAACTTCAGCTAAATCGACTATTACCACGGCAGCCATTACTTCAACAGAACTACCTACCACAGCTGCCAGCACTACCACGAAGGTTAAAACCACATCTGTCACCACTACTGCTTCTACTGAACCTACAACCACGAAAGCAACAGATACCACTTCAACTCAACCTACAACTGAAGCAACAACCACAACTACTGCCAGTACTACTACAGAGGCTATAACCACACCAGCCACCAGTACCACTTCCATCACATCTATAACCACCAAAAAAGCAGAAACCTCTTCAAGTGAACCAACTACCATAATTATTGCTAGCACTACTGACACTACAACAAGATCAGACACCACTACAGCTTCTACTGAACCTATAACCACCACAGCAACAGATACCCCTTCAACTGAAACAACAACTGAAGCAATGAACACTGAGGCTACCACCACAAGAGCCACCACTACAACTTCTATTGAACCGGCAACCACAACAACAGCCACCTTCTCAAGTGAATCAACTGCCACCAAGACTTCAAGCACAACTCCTGACGCTACAACAACATCAGACACCAACACTGCTTCTGTAAAACCCATGACCACCACAGCAACCGATGCTACTTCAACTAAACATACAACTCCAACAGAAGTCCCTACTACAACTAAAAAGACTAACACAACTACTGCGAGCAGTATCCCTGTGGCTACAACCACACAGGCCACCAGTACCACTTCTACCACATCTGCAACAACGATGGCAACAGAAACCACTTCAAGTGAACCAACTACCACAAACACGGCCAGCACTGCCACTGAGTCTGCCTCCATATCTGACACCACTGCTACTTCTACTGAACCTACAACCACCACAGCAATACCTACCACTTCAACTGAACCTACAACCGAAGCAACCACCCCGATTGCAACCACAACAGCCACCACCACCAGTTCTACAGAATCTACAACCACCACAGTAGCAGACACCACTTCAGCTGAGCCTCCTGCCACTACATCTGCCACCACATCAATAGAACCACCTACAACCACTGCCAGCAGTACCACTGCAGCTATCACTACAACAGCCACCACGACGGCTTCTACTGCACCAGCAGCCACCACAACAGCTACCACTTCAACTGAACCAGCTCTCTCAACCACTGCCAGCACTACTGAGGCTACAAGCACCACTATCTCTACTGCTTCTACAGAACCTACAGCTGCCACATCAGTAGAAACCACTTCAACTCACGCTACAAGCAGCACAGCTGCCACTACTTCAACAGGACCAACTACCAGTACTGCCAGTGCTACCACTGAGGCTGCAACCACAACTGCCACCACTACAACTTCTACTGAACCTGCAACCACAACAACAGCCACCTCCTCAAGTGAACCAACTGCCACCACAACTTCCAGCACTACCCCTGAGGCTACAACCACATCAGACACCACCTCTGCTTCTACAGAACCTATGACCAGCACACCAACCGATGCTACTTCAACTGAACCTACAACTGCAACAGCAGCCCCCACTACAACTGAAACAACTACCACAACTACTGCTAGTAGCACCCCTGTGGCTACAACCACACAGGCCACCAGTACCACTTCTACCACATCTGCAACCACGATGGCAACAGAAACCACTTCAAGTGAACCAACTACCACAAACACGGCCAGCACTGCCACTGAGTCTGCCTCCATATCTGACACCACTGCTACTTCTACTGAACCTACAACCACCACAGCAATACCTACCACTTCAACTGAACCTACAACCGAAGCAACCACCCCAACGACTGCCAGCACTACCCCTGAGGATGCAACCACAACAGCCACCACCACCACTTCTACAGAATCTACAACCACCACAGTAGCAGACACCACTTCAGCTGAGCCTCCTGCCACTACATCTGCCACCACATCAATAGAACCACCTACAACAACTGCCAGCAGTACCACTGCAGCTATCACTACAACAGCCACCACGACGGCTTCTACTGCACCAACAGCCACAACAGCTACCACTTCAACTGAACCAGCTCTCTCAACCACTGCCAGCACTACTGAGGCTACAAGCACCACTATCTCTACTGCTTCTACAGAACCTACAGCTGCCACATCAGTAGAAACTACTTCAACTCATGCTACAAGCAGCACAGCTGCCACTACTTCAACAGGACCAACTACCAGTACTGCCAGTGCTACCACTGAGGCTGCAACCACAACTGCCACCACTACAACTTCTACTGAACCTGCAACTACAACAACAGCCACCTCCTCAAGTGAACCAACTGCCACCACAACTTCCAGCACTACCCCTGAGGCTACAACCACATCAGACACCACCTCTGCTTCTACAGAACCTATGACCAGCACACCAACCGATGCTACTTCAACTGAACCTACAACTGCAACAGCAGCCCCCACTACAACTGAAACTACTACCTCAACTACTGCTAGTAGCACCCCTGTGGCTACAACCACACAGGCCACCAGTACCACTTCTACCACATCTGCAACCACGATGGCAACAGAAACCACTTCAAGTGAACCAACTACCACAAACACGGCCAGCACTGGCACTGAGTCTGCCTCCATATCTGACACCACTGTTACTTCTACTGAACCTACAACCACCACAGCAATACCTACCACTTCAACTAAACCTACAACTGAAGCAACCAGCCTGACAACTGCCAGCACTACCCCTGAGGATGCAACCACAACAGCCACCACCACCACTTCTACAGAATCTACAACCACCACAGTAGCAGACACCACTTCAGCTGAGCCTCCTGCCACTACATCTGCCACCACATCAATAGAACCACCTACAACCACTGCCAGCAGTACCACTGCAGCTATCACTACAACAGCCACCACGACGGCTTCTACTGCACCAGCAGCCACCACAACAGCTACCACTTCAACTGAACCAGCTCTCTCAACCACTGCCAGCACTACTGAGGCTACAAGCACCACTATCTCTACTGCTTCTACAGAACCTACAGCTGCCACATCAGTAGAATCCACTTCAACTCACGCTACAAGCAGCACAGCTGCCACTACTTCAACAGGACCAACTACCAGTACTGCCAGTGCTACCACTGAGGCTGCAACCACAACTGCCACCACTACAACTTCTACTGAACCTGCAACCACAACAACAGCCACCTCCTCAAGTGCACCAACTGACACTACAACTTCCAGCACTACCCCTGAGGCTACAACCACATCAGACACCACCTCTGCTTCTACAGAACCTATGACCAGCACACCAACCGATGCTACTTCAACTGAACCTACAACTGCAACAGCAGCCCCCTCTACAACTGAAACAACTACCACAACTACTGCTAGTAGCACCCCTGTGGCTACAACCACACAGGCCACCAGTACCACCTCTACCACATCTGCAACCACGATGGCAACAGAAACCACTTCAAGTGAACCAACTACCACAAACACGGCCAGCACTGCCACTGAGTCTGCCTCCATATCTGACACCACTGCTACTTCTACTGAACCTACAACCACCACAGCAATACCTACCACTTCAACTGAACCTACAACCGAAGCAACCACCCCAACGACTGCCAGCACTACCCCTGAGGATGCAACCACAACAGCCACCACCACCACTTCTACAGAATCTACAGCCACCACAGTAGCAGACACCACTTCAGCTGAGCCTCCTGCCACTACATCTGCCACCACATCAATAGAACCACCTACAACAACTGCCAGCAGTACCACTGCAGCTATCACTACAACAGCCACCATGACGGCTTCTACTGCACCAACAGACACCACAACAGCTACCACTTCAACTGAACCAGCTCTCTCAACCACTGCCAGCACTACTGAGGCTACAAGCACCACTATCTCTACTGCTTCTACAGAATCTACAGCTGCCACATCAGTAGAAACCACTTCAACTCAAGCTACAAGCAGCACAGCTGCCACTACTTCAACAGGTCCAACTAGCAGTACTGCCAGTGCTACCACTGAGGCTGCAACCACAACTGCCACCACTACAACTTCTACTGAACCTGCAACCACAACAACAGCCACCTCCTCAAGTGCACCAACTTCCACCACAACTTCCAGCACTACCCCTGAGGCTACAACCACATCAGACACCACCTCTGCTTCTACAGAACCTATGACCAGCACAGCAACCGATGCTACTTCAACTGAACCTACAACTGCAACAGCAGTCCCCTCTACAACTGAAACAACTACCACAACTACTGCTAGTAGCACCCCTGTGGCTACAACCACACAGGCCACCAGTACCACCTCTACCACATCTGCAACCACGATGGCAACAGAAACCACTTCAAGTGAACCAACTACCACAAACACGGCCAGCACTGCCACTGAGTCTGCCTCCATATCTGACACCACTGCTACTTCTACTGAACCTACAACCACCACAGCAATACCTACCACTTCAACTGAACCTACAACCGAAGCAACCACCCCAACGACTGCCAGCACTACCCCTGAGGATGCAACCACAACAGCCACCACCACCACTTCTACAGAATCTACAACCACCACAGTAGCAGACACCACTTCAGCTGAGCCTCCTGCCACTACATCTGCCACCACATCAATAGAACCACCTACAACAACTGCCAGCAGTACCACTGCAGCTATCACTACAACAGCCACCACGACGGCTTCTACTGCACCAACAGCCACAACAGTTACCACTTCAACTGAACCAGCTCTCTCAACCACTGCCAGCACTACTGAGGCTACAAGCACCACTATCTCTACTGCTTCTACAGAACCTACAGCTGCCACATCAGTAGAATCCACTTCAACTCACGCTACAAGCAGCACAGCTGCCACTACTTCAACAGGACCAACTACCAGTACTGCCAGTGCTACCACTGAGGCTGCAACCACAACTGCCACCACTACAACTTCTACTGAACCTGCAACCACAACAACAGCCACCTCCTCAAGTGAACCAACTGCCACCACAACTTCCAGCACTACCCCTGAGGCTACAACCACATCAGACACCACCTCTGCTTCTACAGAACCTATGACCAGCACAGCAACTGATGCTACTTCAACTGAACCTACAACTGCAACAGCAGCCCCCTCTACAACTGAAACAACTACCACAACTACTGCTAGTAGCACCCCTGTGGCTACAACCACACAGGCCACCAGTACCACCTCTACCACATCGGCAACCACGATGGCAACAGAAACCACTTCAAGTGAACCAACTACCACAAACACGGCCAGCACTGCCACTGAGTCTGCCTCCATATCTGACACCACTGCTACTTCTACTGAACCTACAACCACCACAGCAATACCTACCACTTCAACTAAACCTACAACTGAAGCAACCAGCCTGACAACTGCCAGCACTACCCCTGAGGATGCAACCACAACAGCCACCACCACCGCTTCTACAGAATCTACAACCACCACAGTAGCAGACACCACTTCAGCTGAGCCTCCTGCCACTACATCTGCCACCACATCAATAGAACCACCTACAACCACTGCCAGCAGTACCACTGCAGCTATCACTACAACAGCCACCACGACGGCTTCTACTGCACCAGCAGCCACCACAACAGCTACCACTTCAACTGAACCAGCTCTCTCAACCACTGCCAGCACTACTGAGGCTACAAGCACCACTATCTCTACTGCTTCTACAGAACCTACAGCTGCCACATCAGTAGAATCCACTTCAACTCACGCTACAAGCAGCACAGCTGCCACTACTTCAACAGGACCAACTAGCAGTACTGCCAGTGCTACCACTGAGGCTGCAACCACAACTGCCACCACTACAACTTCTACTGAACCTGCAACCACAACAACAGCCACCTCCTCAAGTGAACCAACTGCCACCACAACTTCCAGTACTACCCCTGAGGCTACAACCACATCAGACACCACCTCTGCTTCTACAGAACCTATGACCAGCACACCAACCGATGCTACTTCAACTGAACCTACAACTGCAACAGCAGCCCCCTCTACAACTGAAACTACTACCTCAACTACTGCTAGTAGCACCCCTGTGGCTACAACCACACAGGCCACCAGTACCACTTCTACCACATCTGCAACCACGATGGCAACAGAAACCACTTCAAGTGAACCAACTACCACAAACGCGGCCAGCACTGCCACTGAGTCTGCCTCCATATCTGACACCACTGCTACTTCTACTGAACTTGTAACCACACCAGTAGCCACCTCATCAAATGAACCACCTGCCACCACAACTTCCAGCACTACCCCTGAGGGTACATACCCGTAAGACACCACTACTGCTTCTACAGAACTTATGACCATCACAGCAACAGGTACCTCTTCAACTGAACTTATAGTCACAATGGCAGTCCATGTTACAACTGAAAGAATTACTGAAACTACTGCCAGCACTACTATTGAGGCTACAACCACCGCAGCTAAGGTACTGCTTCTATTCCATCTACAACCACTTTATCAGCAGAAATCACTTCAAGTAAATCAAAGACCATACCCACTTCCAGCACTTCTACTGAGGCTACAAACACAATAGCCATCAGTTGGTCTTCTACTGAACCTTCAGCCACCATTTCAAGTTAATCAACTGTCACAATAATTTCCAGTAAGACTGCAAGATGTGGGACAATACTACTGCTTCTACTAAATGTATATCCACTAGTCAATGATATCATTTCCAATAAATCCACACTACAGCAGCAGCCCCAGTTCAACAACTTATTTCCACAAAGACTGCCAGTGCTACCACTGTGGCCATAATCACAATTACCCTTAGCTCCTCTATTGAACTTATAATCACCGCAGTAGGCACCTACCACAACAACTACCCACACCACTACTCAGACCACCACCCAATGGTTACCACTACTTCTATCTAATCTACAGCCACTATGCAGCCACCACCTTGTCACAAGTATGAGTACCCTGTTTTAATTTGAACCTATTGCCATAATTGCAAGCATTTGTTCCTTCAACTGAATGCACTATAAGTACAATTATCTTTTCTATTGCACCTATAGACATGAGTACCAGGTGTTTATTAACTAGGCCTGTGATCACAACTTTTACTGAATCTACTGTTATAAGATTACTGTACCATTTCAACGTTTTCTTATCCATTCTGATAACCTCTGTCACTCCAGGTTAAGGTATAACTATAGACCTTTCTACAAATTCAACTCAAATATGAAAAATTTCCATTTCAATGAACCTGTAATTAGCATCAGTTTAACAGAATATCCAGGCACCAATACTTGTTCTTCAACTGAATGTACATTGCCCACAGTAGGTATGTGAATCTAGTGACTCAGTTACTGAATCTAGTTTGCTTTCTTATTCAACTAAAACATAATTTTCTATCTCCACTGCCACAACTTTAATAAGAATAAAATCAACGCAAATGCTACTAACTCAATTGACTTTACAAACACAATAGCATGATTTCAGCTGAATTTATAATCTCCATAACCAATATTACCTGTTAATAGAAAATGATCGTCACATTCTAAGTAACCTATTACAGTTTAATTAGCAACTCCACTGCCCCTTCAAATGAATGTATAGTATGACAACATTAACAAAATATGCTAGTACCAAAACTTCCCATATTTCGCAGTAGGTATCACCACATTTATTGATCACACTGTCATGCTACCATTTCTATGCACCATCATTTCTATTTTACTTATTACTACAATAACTACCACTAAATCCTTCACCTGAATTTATAAGCACTGTAACTTCTGTTGACATGTTATTCAAAGCCATCCATTACTTATTCATCAGAACCAAACATTGCCCCTATTAACAATAAATACAGTAGGTCACATTATTACTCCCACTTGACAAAAATGACAAATTCATAATGACATTTTAATCGCAGCTATAGTTAGGATGCCTGCGAATTGAGTCTTAACATCCACTCTCATCACTTCCATAGCAGAACCTATATCTACTATTGTTAATTATAGATTATTCCATGGCCACCAACCACCAACATATAACCACAAATATCTGCTCTAAAGTAGAATTTACTTAATGACCGGTTCAACTGTCATCATAATGATAATGAATTTCACCCCTAAAACAGCATTAAGATTTAACAATAACATTAATTTGACCTAACCATTTAATATGAAGAGTCTATTTTGTGAAGTTTTAAATAATGCATTTTCATACAAAATAAATCCAATCAATTTATTATGTTGGAAACTTGTTAGGTTTTAATAAAATGTTTCCAATGAAATAGGAATACAATCATTTATTATTCTAAAGTTTTAGTCTTTAATATACAAATTCCATATGTAATAGGAAATGGATATTCTATTTGGTGAGAGTATGTTAAAGACATGTATGTACTACCACAATTTTTAAAGATTGTGTAAATTTATTTTTATTTCATTTTCTCTTTAAATAATTTTTAATTTGAAGTAATATTTATAGGTGTGTTATTTTCAAGTTAATAAACTTATTTTCTATTTTTTTATAGTGATCTTAAAAACCTACTCAATTAAATACATTGATTAAATGTTTATGTGTACCTGCTATCTGCTGAAATGGTAGAGACTATTCAGAAAAAGAAACTAGCAATGCAGATAGTAATAAACTTACCAATTTCTATTATTTAGAATTTTTGACAATTGACAAGTTTAAGTTAGTGTTATAGTAGGTACTTGTCTTCCACTGAAGTGAAAAGCAGTCCCAGTGAATCAGAATCATTGAGGATAAGCCATAAATCGATATTTTTCAAAAAGTATGCAGATGGGACTGATAACCAATAGTTGAAGCAGTAAACCCAGGTGGGCATTGTGACTTGTTACATCTCTTGGGTGGGGTTAATGAGGTTGATAGAAATCATAAAGTATTTTTTTTTAAATCAATCTTTATTGTTCATATTGTTACAAAGGTTCCTCATTTCTTCCCCCCTCCACCAGGTTCCCACCCCACCCTCTGCCCCCTCCCCATCCCCCATTGTCCTCATCCATAGGTGCAGTTTATGTTCAGTCTCTTCCTCTCTCCCTTTCCCCGAAAGTAAATCCCTTTTCAGATAGTAAATCAGTTACTTAGCATTTTCTCATATCAATAATACCACCACATGCCCAATGATACATTTCACACAAAAGACATTTCCAAATAGGTCAACCAGCCTCATCCAGGCCATACCCAAGGCACTCACAGATCAACACCCCAGCCCTATACTAACTCAACACATCCAGATCTAAGCCTTCATCACTTGATTCAGCAAACCCTCAAGTTCCCACAAAAGTTTCCAGCCATGTCTGAGAGGCAGCCGTGGGGCAGGGGCAGGCGAGGAGCGAGCTGTTCCGGGCCTGGCTGCTCCGGGCCTGGCATCTGTTGCTCTGGTTTGTTCCACAACCAGCTGTTCCGGGTCTGGTCACCGTCGCTCCCGACCTAGTTGCTCTGGGCCTGGCTGCTGCTGCTCCGGGCCTGGCCGCACCCGACCTGGCTGCTCTGGGCCCGGCTGCTTTGGGCCCGGCTGCTCCAGGCCTGGCCGCTCCCAGCCTGGCAGCTGCTGCTCTGGGCCTGGCTGCACCAGACCCGAGAAAGTATTTTTTTAAGCATTAACAAAAGTCAGTTGCCATATGTTGGTGTTAATTGTACCTAAAACAAAGAATGGCTGTATAGTGTATGGGCACATGAGCACATGGTGGGGAGTCAGCAGAAAGTGCTTTTCTTACTTAAAAGGAAACATGTATTTTCAGCAACTTAAAACAAATATTTTAATAGTCATATGCTAATTAGAAATAATTTTTAGCTTTTCCTTCAAGTCAGTTCTATAGAGGTACTGTCCTTCTATTTTGGTAGATTACTTAACTGTAATTACATGAAATTAATATATTAACATTTTATTAAGATTGTTTAATTTTATATTTTTCACCCATTATTTTTTCCAATTAAGGATACTTTATATTTTTTATTAAATATATCACTGCTGGACTATTATTTTTTTTGTTATAGAAGACAAAACTTTCTATTTTCTAGTTCCACATCTGTACAGAGATGTGGCTTCTGCTTAACCAGGGAGTGTATCTGGCAACTAGAAGATAACAAACATTTGTTCAATAAATGAAAATAGCAACAATTACAAGAATTTATTACCAAGTACTATTTTTAGAGTTAAATAATCTTTCAATATACTTTAAAAAAATGTAAACATATTCTAATTAGCATTTTTCTAAAAGTTTTTAGTTGAGTACAACATATGTACAGAAAATGCACCAAATTTATACTCAATGAATTATCACCAAGTGTACATACTCACACCCAAATTAAAAAAAAGGGAACATTACCAGCATTCCCTATGTCCACACCTCCTTTTTGTCCCCCAAAGTGAAACTATTCTGATCTTCAACAGCATGAATTACTCTGATTGTGAACATAGTAGAAATTGAATGGCACTCCTTTGTGTCAGATATCTTTAGCTCAGACTTTTATTAGTGACTAGAGGCCTGGTGCATGAATTCATGCACCAGTGGGGTCCCTCGGCTTGGCCTGCGGGATTGGGCTGAAACCGACGCTCCAACATCCCTCATGGGGTCCTGGATTATGAGAGGGTGCAGGCCAGCCCAAGGGACACCACCAGTGCATGATTGGGGCTGGGGAGGGACAAGGGAGAGGATGAGAGAGGGCTCCAGGGCTTGTCTGGCCCATCTAGCTCATTCCTGATTGGCCAGACCCCAGCAGCAAGGTAACCTACTGGTTGGAGCATCTGTCCCCCTAGTGGTCAGTGCACCTCATAGCAAGCAGTTGAGTGGCCTTAGCATATCATAAGCATATTACACTTTGATTGGTTGAATGGATGACTGGACACTTAGCATATTAGGCTTTTATTATATAGGATAGTCATGAATATTTTACTCCTAATGATTGCTTTACTATCATTGTGACATACTAATTTATTGTATTACCACTGCCATGATTTATTTATCTATTATTTTGTTGGTAGACACTCAGGTTATTTCTGGTTTTGTATACTACTACAGTGCTCTGTGAAAAAATTGTTGTATATATATCTTTTGGTATGCACAATCTGCTTCAGGCTTTTACTAGAAAATAATAGCTGAGACATAGAGTAAGAAATTGTTCAATGTTAGAAGATACTTCCAAACAGTTTCTCAAATGAATTGTAAACTACCTATTTTCTCATGGGCATTATATGGAGTTCTGATTATAGCACATTCTCACCAACGTGACTTTGGCAGCCTTTTAAACTAGCCATTCTGGTGCATGTGTAGCAATGTGTATTCATTT